AGGAATGCAGGGGAAAGACAGCTTGAGAGAGAGGCAAGGTGCAGAAGATCTTTTTCAGGTCACTGCCCCTACAGGTGGATGGGTGAGGAGGCACTTATGACCTTACTGAACAGGTTGATGGGACTTGCTGGGATGTCCCCACTTCACTGACCCAAAGGATGATGGGAAGTACTTACGGCTTCATGTTGAGCAAGTCCTGGAAACCCTCTAATGTCTTTGCTTTCTGGACACGGGATGCCATGTACTTGTCCTTGGTCCAGGTCATGTGCACCTTCTCCTGGTAGGTTTCAGTCTCCTCATCTTCATCAGAGCCGATGCTGGTTAGGCGCAGCATGGAGTTGCGATCTTTCACCAGCTGAGCCTTCAGGAAAACTAGTGAGTACCCCCTAAGCAGTAACTTACCACCATACTCCTTTTCCCTCCTAAGCACACAGAGCTCACCCACCTCCCGATCCCGCTCTGTCTTGGAGAGCCTCATTTGCCGCAGCATCTGGGAACGCTGCTCCATCATCAAAGTCCGCTCGTAGGTATATGCAGAGATGTCACTGTCATGCTGTAAGGACAAAAACCAAGCTGAGACTAGAGATACATGCTCTCCCTGGCCCCTGATGTCAAGGGTTGCCATCTCCCCATGAGCTGCCCTTTTCTGTCTATGGAGATGGACAAACATACATTTGGCATGGTTTCCAAGGAGCGGGGGGACTTGTTACTCAGGCATGAATAGCAGCTATCAGGTTCTAACAGTTGTGTGCATACAAGCTAGGAGCAGAACATGGTATCAAAACTGCTCCAAGCCAAGGTTGAAGTTGGAACAGTTTTGCTACCATCTGTTTCGTTCCTGGCTTGTGTGCACAGTTAGAACTTAACTGCTGCTGCGTGTTTCCAAGCTGCAGCTCCCCCTTTTCCAGTGCACATTTCTCTATGTCCTGTATTACCATGCAGCATCTGCAACCACACAAGGACCACACACTGTAGGACTCTGTTTAAAGAACTGCCAGGAAGTGGCCTGTCCATTATGTCTCTCTTCTGTGCTACTCTTGGCTCTAATTACAGGCAGTAGAGAAACAAATAGATCACAGATGGGCTGGAAGTTTGACTGGTTTGGGCAGTGGGGTGGTGTTAAGTGATAGAAAAATCCAGGAGTCCTGAGTACTAGTGCCTCTTCCTGGAGCCCTGATTCTAGCTGGTTGGCATAGGCATGGCTCTCCCACACCTCACCATCCCCTAGAAAGTTGTAGCAAGTGCATCTCTTGCAAGCCTCTCCCCCCACCACTCTAGGGGCCTCAAGGAATGCAGCTCTTTGACACTCCTTTCCTTTGGAAACCTTACAGCTCTGCATGCTCTCACCATTTCCACCACCTCCACCTCAGCTTCAATTCGTAAGTGGTACAGAAAGGTAGCCAGGTCTTTCTTCATCTGGATACTGTTGTCCTCCAGTTGGGCCACCGTGAAAATACGGATTTTGCACTTACGCCACACCTGGGACATGAAAAGAATATAGAAAGGAGACATTCTCCATATGGATCCAGCCCATATTCCCATGCTCTCACTTAAAAAAGCCCTAGAGGAGCACGAGTAGAATTGTACCAAGACCCACTCCTTTCCTCCCTGTGCCATTCAACTTCCCCACCTATATGCATTCAAAGCTATTTCTGTCCAAATTCTAGTGGCACCTTGTGCTGCTTGAGCAGGAAGGGAAGCAACATGAGCATGCCACCATCATGGACAATCCACCACACATCAATGTTGCCTTCCACAAATGGGTCCGCGTTGCTAGGGAAAAAGGCTATATTCTTGGCCACCAAGAGGGCAAGTCGGGCAGCTGTAGTGACCCTGACAGTGCCTGTGAGAAGAAAAAATGAAGTCAAGATGGGCAGCATGCACCAGTGCCCTGGTGGTTGAGGAATCTGACCAATCCACACCCTCTTTGTACCAATAAAGGTCTTCCATGCACGGGCATCCTCACTCTGGCGCCAGCCACTGGGCCAGCCCATCACGACCGTGTTGTGCTTCATGCCCCCAAGGCCACAGGATTGGATGAGGTGGGAGATGCCCTCCCGAACCTTGGCAGCCACCACCACCTGGCAAAAACCCTTTACCCGCTCCGACTCCATTAGATGCTTAATGGTCTGGAACACAAATAACACAGGTAAGCTGTTAAGGGGCACTGTATTGGCAAGCAGTGGAGGTGCAGGCACTTCCCCTCTGCAGACAGTGCTGGCCTCAGTGCTTCAGAAGGACATGAGGGAAGCCTGGGGTGGGGCTCAGTAGGAGGTGCCTCTGTCATCCCTTACCTGTTCAGCTGCTAGGGCTTCTCCATAGGTGTCCAGGAAGTTGCCCACCATGACAGAACCCACAATGGTAAGGCCCTTGCCAGCTTTGAGCTGTGATGCAAAGGTGAGCAGGCGTGGGTGCTTCACATGCAGGTCCTCATCTAGCTTCAGAAGCACTAACAGCTGGGGTCTGTGGAGAGGAAGGAGTTAAAATGGAGGACAGAAGGGAGGTCTCTCAAGTCAAATCCACTCTCTTCCAGCAGAGAGCAGCACCTGTGTGCAGAGCTCAGATCCTGTAGCAGATGTTGTCGTTGGAGCTGTGCCAGGATGCATCCTGATGATCTGCTTCACTGGGTGACATAGATGTCACCCAATGTGCTATAGGATCAAGCCTCTGCCACTCCCAGGGCTTCAGGGGCACAACCCTGCCTGACAACTGCAGATGAGGGAACCCTAGGTCCCAGAGCACATGCATCATGCTGTTGTGCCTCATCCTGTGGCAGGCCTCTACAAGTGGGAGAACCCCAGGCTTTTGTAATGTTAATGTGGATTTTCAGCCTTTGGGTTTTCCCACGGACAGAGGCACACTCCAACTCTGATGTGGCAGTACAATGTGTATGCCCAGGAAACCCCACCCCTGTCGTGGGATTCCTGGGGTGCGCATCTGTAAGCAGGAAACCCAGGCAAGTGCTCTTCAGGGGCCCAATCCTGCTCATCCTGGGAATGGGAACTCCTGGGCCATGCAGGAGTGGGCCCCTGAAGCTCCAGGAGCACCTATGCAGAGCAGCTGTACAGTGTAGGCACCTCCAGGATGCCTGTGCTCTCTCACCAAAAAGTGAACAGATGTCCGCTCCAAAAAAAAAAAAAGCAACAAATTTTTAATCGACTATTGTCATGGCGTTTCTGGCATTTGTGGCATGACAAGGGGCATGGAAGTCTATTTGCCTGGCCTTTTGTGCTGCCATAAAAAAGCTTATGATGGCACAGAGGTGACGTCTGTTTCCAGTTAAGGCACACACGCAGTTTCAGAGCTGAAGTCTCTCAAGTCTCTCCTACCTCCAGTTCTTGGTGTGAGGGGGTCCCTCCTCCAGCCTCAGCAGAGCAAAGCGGGCAGCACTTAAGGACAGGCCCCGGATCCCATCACCCCACTCCTTCTCAGCTCTGCAGGAAAAAAGGATGCACAATGTCGACACAGACCTGAAGACCACTCCCTTTCTCCCCACACCTGCCACCCCAGGAGATGAGGTTACATGATAAGATAGGGAAACGTAGTAGGGACAG